GTATTTAAGCCGTAGACGCCTTCCCATTGTGCTCCGACCAGCTGCATCACATACAATCATCACCTCTCCAAACCATTTTCCTATCCACCAAAATGGCCCCTGCCTTTCTCATTGTAGGCGCAACAGGCAACACTGGCCGCGGCGTCGTCCAAACGCTCTCCGAGAACATCAGGTCAAGCCCGGAGTTCTCCAACCACCGCATCATCGCCCTGACCCGCTCCACCAGCGGTTCTTCGGCCAAAGCGCTCGCCGCTCTGCCCAACATCGAGGTTCTCGAGTACACTTGGACAGAAATTACCCCAGACTGGCTGAAAGAGCACGAGGTAGAACGCGCCTTCATCGCTTCGCACAACGAACCCAACCAATTCGCCGAGGAGGCCACATTCCACCACGCCGCCCTCCGTGCTGGAGTTCGCTACGTAGCACGCATCTCCACCACGCATTGCAACATTCGCCCAGACTGCAATGCATACTACCCGCGTACGCACTGGGCAATCGAACAATTGCTCAGTTCGCCCGAATTCAGCGCCCTCCAGTGGTCAAGTCTCCAGCCAAATGTCTTCCCGCAATTTGTGTTTCCTCCTGCCATTGAATTGGTCAAGCAATACCGCAAAGACGGCACACAATCCACGCTCCGTCTCATGCCCGACGAGCACGCGAAATTGGGCATCGTCGATCCCATTGAAGTTGGAAATTTTGCTGCCACATTGCTGCTCACGCCTTCATCTTCGCTCTCCAAGCACAACAAGCAGAAATACGTGCTCAATGGAGCCCATGATGTTACTGGCCGCCAGATTGTGGACCTAGTGGAGAAGGAGATTGGTACCAAGGTTGAGGATGTCAAGTTTAGGGATATGTCATTCGTCGAACCCATGGCGGAACAAGCAAAGAGTAAGTTCAGCAAAAATGTCATGATGAGTATTCAGTACGCGGCAGAGACATCGTGGCACGGCGAAGCGAGCACCGAGACTACGAGTAAGGAAGTCAAGGACATTAGGCCGTTTAAGAAGGGGTATCAGCAGTTTTGGAGGGAGCTGTTGGATCAGTAGAAGGTGTGTGGCGTGTGTTATAAATACGACCAAGTAATGCTGGGAAACTGTAGCAGTGTCGCACCGTTGCTAATGAGTTTGGTGCGTATTCTGCAATTTGTGTTCTAATGGAAAAACATTTGCTACAAATGTAGAAGAAGAGCAAAGTAGTGCAGGTGATGATTTGGAGATAATTATCAAGTCAAAGATCAAGAGTCATGAGTGCATTCTGAGTAGATTTGTGTGTGATAGCAAGCGTGGCAAACAGCACTCTGTCTGACGTTAGGCCACCTGGGATCTGGTCCATTCTAGAAAATCGCTGTTCCATTGACATGGGTGCTCACACCACCTATTACAGTTAGCTGTGTCGTCGAAAAGGTAGCCATCGAACAACTTACCTGGACAGTTCGCCGGTGCAGAAGAAAAGAAGAAGAACCACCTTTTCTTCTCCCGACACGTCTTAGCTAGCTTTTCAAGATCTAACATCTCTCCAAGAGGCATGCCCCACAACGCTAGAATGTATTCGTGAAGGTGATAGTCTGTCATGGTCAGTTTTTCGTTCTCAATCTCAATCACCACGAAAACATACTTTCATGTGGAGGCCACGCCTCAAACGCAGGCGCATCACCCGCCACAGACGCAAAATAGCTATCGTGCAGCCAATCCAAAATCTTCTCTTCTTGACTCACACCAACATACCGCAGACCATCTTCCCCATCCTTTCCACTCCCATGAGGACGTGTTGCTGCTTTAGTTCGATCCTCGTCGCTCTTGCTATCGTACGCTTCCTTCCACCCGCTCCGAATGAAGAGCATATCACCGGGCTTGATATCGCCGCCTTGCGCTGCGGGTCTAATGTCAAGTCCTTGGTCTTTACCACACTGGTACAACTCGTCCCATGAAATGGGGTAGTAGTCAAATGGATCATAATCTATGCCCTTTTTGTGTGCGTAACCTCTGTAGTCGAGGAGGATGCCGCGACCGGCTATGCCGTGCTCGGCCCAATGGTGGATGGAGCATTTATGGTTGGCTGTTGGGCCAACAATGTCACTGCTTTTGGTCTGGATTGGGGGTCAGTGTAGCGCATGTGTCTTTGCAATGTAGAGACTTACATTGTTATAAAAGGAGCCGCTGGGGATGTGAGCAAAATGGCGGAATCCATCCCATTGCGTTCCACTCTGTGTGTTCAGGTGGTAGAGATCGTCGTATACGAATCCTTCAGCTACGGTTTTGATCTCGTGTTGGAAGGCTTCGCGGCCGAATGCTGGGGTGCCCGGGACATTTAAAGGTAAACTGATGTTCGATTAAGACCACGTCGGCTTCATGATTGACTTCATGACTACGACCGACTTACTTGACAGGGACAATTTCGCCACTCTGAATCTCTTGCGCAGCAGCCGTGACACGGCTTGGTGTAAGAAGATTAAGACGACCAATCTACCATTTGAATGAGCATCCTAGCATTGGGCTTGAAGTAAATTTTTGCATACAAAATCGTTTTCTCCCCAAACCCAAGCAGCTTCTGCAGGTGCGCCAGGAATCTGGGGAAGCTCCTTTCGAGTCGGGAAGATGGTACTGTTAGGATCCCACGGAATCGTAGTCGCGGTCTTAACCATGGTCAAAACGTCTTTGAGTTGTGTCAGGCGGTGAAATGTTGTGTTTTTCTTGAATTCGTCCTTTGTGGTGTTTTCACGCCTCGGTAAGGAACAGTGAGTGCTTGTTGAAATCGTTGGATTCAACGATTCGGAAGGACATACACTACTAGAGTAGATTGCAAGATAGCCCCGCAACTTGTGGGTGCGAATGCGTGCCCCGCATAGTAATCACCACACGGCCGTCTGATATCGTTGTCCGCCGAGACACTGTGGGGGTAGGCCGCAGCCGCTCCCAAGGTGTGCTCACTGAAGGCAGAACACCGCTATACTATCAATCCTGACCCAGGTTCGAACCGTATCAAACATTTGCTAACGTACAACACCTGTGGACATAGGCAATATCCCAAACATACGTTAGTTACCATACTTCAAACGCAGTGCCAGCATCCCGCCAAGATGCTGTGCCGAAGTGATGACGTGAAGTGGACCGGGACTTTTACCATCATGTCCTGATCACTAATTCTCTGTCGCACTTATGCGCAGGGATTCAGGGTAGAAATATCCCACTTGTATCTCGGGAAGATGATGCATGTGGCCGGGGGTAGACGTTGGGGTGTTTCTTACGGCCGAAGCAAATAAATAGCACTAGTTATGTAAGCTTGGCGCTAGGGACGCCCACTGTTGACCTCAGAAACACCACACTGCAGAGTACATGCGGTATGTACGTGTATGCGCTTCACCTTCCACCGATCAATTGAGCCTCTCACACCGAGAGCTAATATAGGGTTAATTCTGCACACAAGGGCGTATCAGTTGACTTTGAAAACCTTCATCAGTCCTTGATACGATCAGCACCATCCCTTCCGCTTTGAGGAGCTCGGATGATAGTGGACTCGCAGCAACTTCTAAGAAGTTCAGTAGTGCTATTTTTTCCTTTCCTTGTAGCTATTTGCATATCTTGGTATGCGACTCCATCTGTAAGCCCGATGCCCGCACGGTCCACTCTAGATGAGGTCGCTTCCTCTTTGCTCGCAGAGAAAGGGTTGCGGCTGCAGTCGTCAAAGCGAATTCAGTCTCTGTGGGCTGGGTACGGAGAAATAGTGTGTATCGTTGCAGTGCCAGAGAGTCCAGAGTCTTCCACATCGCCTGATTCACGGACCTTCGTTCTCAAACTAGTCACACCTCCACCAACCAAAGCGGATGATGAAGGTCATACACGGAAGATATTGAGCTACCAAGTAGAGCAGTACTTTTACAGCCAATTAGCGCCGCATATGCCGGCGTCAATTCCGGTCGCCAAATGTCTTGCGAGCATCAATGAACATCATCCCGATGGAACGTCAATCACAGCGATGATTTTGAGCGACCTTCGTCAAGAGTATCCCGTTGCGGGCGAGAAGCGCGAGGCCCTTTCTTCCACTCAGGTCACTTCTGCATTGAGCTGGCTTTCTGGTTTCCACGGGTTCTGGTGGTCTCGCGTAGGACATATGGAACGTTCGTTGCTCATACTGCCTCCGCTTGAAGAGGTACAGCATAACGGCCGTGATACGATTCAGAAGACGGTCTGGTTGAATGGAGGCTACACATACCTCGCAACACGTCGAAAAGAGTACGGAACCCTAGTCAATGACCAGGAAGATGAATGGAGCCAGCAACTTACTCAGACTGTCGAAGGAAGCAATCGGTCGATTGCGGAACTGGTCGCTACATTCCTCGCACCACTGCAAGCAGGGCGCTCAGTCATCAACGAATACGAAACATTGATCCACGGCGATGTCAAGTCAGAGAACCTCTTCACAAGTATGTTGGGTGAGCAAGTTGCGTTTTACGATTTTCAGTACGTAGGACTTGGCCTGGGTGTCTGCGATCTTGCAAAACTCTTCACGTGCTCTGTGCCATTGAATATGTTGGTCACCAACACATCTTTGGCACCCGAGTTGGCAATGCAATATGGCGAAAAATCTCTGCTCGAACGATATTTGAGTAAGCTGAAAGAAGCGAGTGGGAAAGAGTATGACTGGGCGATATTCGTTCGTCATTGGGAGACTGCACTAGTAGACTGGCTGCGCTTCCAAGCTAGCTGGGGTTTCTGGGGCAATACCGAGTGGTTGGAGGCAAGAGTCAGAAGCATCTTGAAAGACCAGGAATGGAGGAAGTTTGTAATGGACGGCGTGGCCATGGTTGATCGAGCCAACTCGCAGTGAGAAGAGAAAGAGACGTGGTCCGCAGTTTCCTGGTTCCGCTCGATCGTCTACATGTCACGGTACGCAATAAACGATACGCTCCCAGAACGTACTGTTGCGGTCGACCTCTCCAGTCAGGAACTACTTGGTTACATAACCTGAGGTTGCAGTTATTATCATCGAAGTGGGAAAACGCCTGCATGGCTTAGTGGTAAAGCGTCGCACTCGTAGCATTGGCTCAATACCAGTATGTTAGAAATGCGAAGACCCCCAGTTCAATCCTGGGTGTGGGCTTATCTTGACACAAAACCGTAATTTTCTTTTTGCTTTTACAAGTTCCCAATGAGCTTACATATTTTGGAGACGAGATAGCCTCTTCTCTCACCCAAGCGTAAATTTCTCCTACTTTAGACACCACGCCGACCTGCAGTACAGGTAGAAAATTATATCATAGTTCAACAAATTGTGCACAGTTGAGTGGCGCGCGGAGTGTCATTTGAGTCATAATGTGGCTCGACATTCACAGTCAGTGCACGTCATCTATGCACGGGAGGGTTGTACAAACTTCAGTGCTTTACCAGAGTCGCAACTTGCCGAGTGCGGTACCTTGGTCTTTATTAATCATGATCTTCTTCATTCATCATCTCAAAGACATCTTACGGCAAAATCGTCACTAACTTTCAAGTTTGGTGAGCAGGCCTACGTATCGAGTCGGCGATGTCATGAAGCAGCGACCGCCTTTCTTGTTTCACACTCCTTCGCTGTCCAAATCCTTCAGTACCACGCAAAGCGTGAAGCCGATCCCACTGCTCCAACCAGTCGTTGCCACGTGGCGGTACCGCTTTGCGCTTCACTAGAGGTGGTAAGTAGAGTGACGAGCGTCGTACAAAGGATGGTGCCGCGTAGGTAGCGACTGGGGAGCCTAGATTTCCTATTAAACAAGGAAACAGTTCTGTGCTAGAGCGAAGTTGTCCTGCAAGAAAATCCTGGTTCGAAGGTGACGTTGGTGGCGAACCTGGTTTTAGGGATAACGGTACATCAAATATGCATGGGACTGCTGGTCTCTTGACTGTGCTCGAAGTCCCAAAGGTATCTTCGCGGTGCGTAGTCTCCATTGCGCTGGACGATCTCGTGAATCGATCAAGACACTCGGCCACGATGTCTCTTACGTTCGCATCTGCCGTAGCTACAGGGTATAGTCCTGCGTGCGAATCGCTCTGGCTCTTATTCGTCCAGGCTGCAGTGTATTCCGAGTCCCGGTTGGATGTTGGAAAGATTGACGGCCTTTCAGTCGATGACAACGACACGGTTGATGAATTCGACGATGTTGGCAAGGCAGGTAATGGCTTTTCGCTATCCATCCCGGATGAGCCACCTTGCCTCATGCATAGATCATGATCATCCAGCTTCAAGGTGTGCATGCGTTCTGAGGAACGTCGTCGATGCTGGTGATTGACTCGCTCGATACGCTTTGTGGTTACGTCGTTTCGATGCATCTTCCCAATAGAAGTGTCCTTGATATGACTAAGACAGTACTCTGCCCTAGCCTGCAGCTCGGGGTCTTCGTCCGCGCACCACAATTTTCCCTTTCCCATTTCCTTACTTGCCTTGATTGCCGATGTTCTTCGGTAACACGCCCCCTTATTGTGGACATGATATTCACATTCAGATGTTCCGTCCGTCGCGTAGCTGACATCCTCATATCCTCCTCGCAGCATGCTTACCAACTTCCGATCTTCAGCAAACATCTTATCCATGACAAATTTCTTCAATACGTCTGATACTTTCCTGTCCACAAAGACTACATCAAGAATCTTTTGATCTAGACTTTGTTTTGGGGACAAAATTTGGGACATCTCATCGATGACGTAGTCTTGAAACTCTGGCTCTTTTAGGGTACCGCCAACGATGTGTGCATAAATTAAGTCGATACATTCGCGTAGAGAACAGTATAGAGTGGTGGGAAAAGCAAATAAGGGCAGCGTTTTTGAAGCAGAGTTCAAGTAGTCGAGAAAGAGCTTGAAACCTGCAGGATCAACGCTTGGGAGAGGGATGGTGTTAGGGTTGGAGATGTGCCGCTCGATGACAGCAAGGAGTTGCGGCGAGCGAGATGCGATGGCGAGAGGGACATCGATGGTTTCGCTAGGGAGGTGCTCGGACAGTGTTGTTCTACCGGAAAGGACGAATGTTATCATCGTATTTTGATGAAGTGCGGGCAAACGTCGAAGCAGAAATCTCGATGTCATTGCAAATACGAGGGGTCTATGTGTTTGTTTGTGGTTGTAAGATAGGGGCATTGTGCGCTTAGGTCGATACATAAAATCCAAATTCACATGTGAATATTATGTTACATCGTTATGCGGAATGTGATTGCGGCTGTTAGAGTCACCGATTGCGAAGTGGGTCATGAGTTACACCAACATTGACAGCGACCATGTCACAGGTTGCTTACGGTACTAACGTCAGTTAACCAACGGATCACAAACTTTACCAACACCCAACCTCAAAAACATTCATACGTGCCCCGCAAGATCTTGCCTTATGATAGAACACGACTGTAGATCCTGAATGCAGCCGTGGTACTCACGCAGCTCACACCCCATTGATATCAGGTCCCAAGGTATCACCCGTCATGCCAATGTTCAAATCCAAGAAGCAAAAGCAGACATCTCCAGGACAAACTAGCTTCACAGCTCTTCAGGACTGCTCGTCAGCCTCAACACCCACCCAAAATCTCTCTCCATATCCCGCGCATACACACCCCCATAACAGCGACAAGTTTAGGGGCTCTTATGTATGGAATGATCTAAGTCGCAAACCCGTAGAGAACCCCCAGGGCACTCAAAAAAGTGCAACTATTGGCTTGGGCGAGATACCGCAGATCGCGGTCTCACCGGCCATGGCACCGAAACAGGGCTCGGGAGAGGGAAGAGGAGACATTTCATTAACGACAGGGAAATATGCTCATACACAGAACCTCACAGCAGCGCCACCATTAGTCCAGCAGCGAGATCGCGAGCGATCCGAGAAAAGGAGTCAGCCAGAGACTGGAAGGCGGGAAAGCGTGATGGAGCGTACGAAGGCTGATCTGTACCACGCGAGCTTGATTAATGATGTATCAAAGAATGGATCTGGCTCGAGATCGAGTGTGGAGACAGGGCATATGCACGATCCTACCTCTTCTCCTCAAAATCGAAGTCAACCGCATTTTTCGAGCAGCTCACCCCATACTTCGCACTTGGGGTTTCAAAAGCAATCTAACAATCGTTCGACTAGACCTACAAAACATATCCCCAATCGTTCTCCTCAGCATACAGCCTCATCCCGCTCCGTGGATCATCGAGTAGAAAAAGCAGCCGGACCAACCTTGGCCCAACATCCTCAGATTGGTCGTCGGGCCAGTATTATGAAGCACATCAAAGAAGACCCTTATCACGCCCTTATGTTAGAAGGAGGCACCATTAATGGTGGATATGACTCAACAGCCGAGAGCAGCAGGTCGAATACACCAATATCTGTTACCTTTGCCCCCAGTGCTTCTCCTGACCCAATTCCCGCCAGCGCTCCACGCGGGACAAACACCAACGATCTGAAATTCACTAGAAGCACGGCTCGCCGTGTATCAAACTACTCCCTTCCATCGAGTTCCTCGTATACAATGCCATCGCTTCCAGACTATGCGCCGCCCTCACTGCCGAACTATGCAACCCCACCTCCGAATTATACAACACCGGCACTTCCAAAACACGCACCCTCCCAACTGCCCGATTCCACTAACTTGATCCTAAAAAACACCATACTTGGTCTGTTACCCGATTTCACATTCCCATCACCACCTTTACCGGACGAAACTCTCCCTCCCCTCCCTTCTTCTACGCCTTCTACACCATCAAGTGCCAACATGCCACTTCCCCACTCTCGCGATTCTAGACCTCCATCTTCAGTCCCTGAAGCAGACGAGCAACACAAATATGATCTCAACAACAACCAACCCCCCACATCCACACTCCAAGCACCCGAATCTGGGATCTTAACCAAACTACCCGAGCCCGTAACTCCACGAACTGACTCCAACTCAAACCCAGATACCATCACCATCTTCATAGACCAACAAGATCCGATCTCTGCCTACCTCACACCCCGCGCTCTAACCCTCCCATCATCTCTATACAACCAAATCACATCCCTCAACATCTCCCCCGCTGACCTCGACCCCGAAACTCTAAAAACCTACCTCATATACTTGGAAACCGGTTTCCTCCCCAAGTCACTGCTCCCCCCATCACACTCCCATCACCTCGATACCTCATTTGACCCTCGCGTTGAAACAAAGCCATATCAAACACCACCTCCACCATCACATCATCTCTTGATTAATCTACTCATCCTCGCACACACCTTACACGACACAACAGTACTTACCCCGCTCATCCTCCAAACCCTAGAACATCGCATCGATGTTGGTATTGACAGCACCGCGTGGATGGACAAACACATTGTCCGCCATATCTTCAATCCCTCCCTGACCCACAGAATTCCCGAAGAAGTCAAGACCTGGGTGATAGAACGATGTATCGAGACGAGATGTTCGGGGTTGGCTTTGGAGGAATTACCGGTTTGTTTCTTGGCTGGGGTTTTGGAGAGGGTGATGCGGGTGTGATTGGGTGAAATGAGGTGGTGAGTGGTTCGGATCATGGGTTAGATGATTGGGGAGATGATTGAGGCATTGAGAAGGTGGGGTTGTGGTTGTAAGAAGATAAAGAGTGTGAGGGTGAGGGTGGATGTCTAGAGTCTTGTGGCGTGTGTCTGTCGTACGATGCCATGTAAGTACGGCAATGTAGGATGGTGTCTATACTGTGTAATGCCTGTTTCCTTACCACCATCGTCTTGTAGAGATGCTATGTTTACTCTCCAAACACTGACTTATCCACCCCCAGTGGTCTCAATTCACCATCTGCGTCATCTCAAATCCGTTCCCATCTTCCTTTTCTTCTCCACTAGCCCACGTGAACTTTGCGACCCCGCCATCCCACGTCGTCCATAAATCTACATCATCATTCCACTCACTATCCACAAACTTCAAACTCCTTATAACCCACCGGGGAGCCCTCCTGTCGGCGTTCTCCCTCTTAGAAGGATCATGCTTGAATTCCCGTACTATTTTACCAGTGTATATGTTGGACACGCGAATAGCAACATCAGTCTGATCGTCCTGCGCCGCCGCCACGAGGCCCAGGCGACGATGGACCGCGATATCACAGTGCGGATTATCCATATTGCTGTGCTTGAACGTG